AAAGCTCCTGCCAGAGTGAAGACAGATGGACTGCTGTGACACACCTACCCACACACTGTTTGCAGATGACCAGTGGCCTATGCTATTTTTACAAATAAACTTGAGGCAAGAAAAATAAATAAATAAATCAGTAAATAAATAAACAAACAAATAAATAGTAAAAGTGGATTGCTGGTCTAAATGTGAAATCCAAACAATAGAACATTTAGAGAACAGGAGAATGGGCTCCTCCCAACGTCATACTTGACAGTGCTTTTAAAATAAAGTATTTATTAGAGACTTCCAGGGGTCCCGCTTGTGCTTTTATAGTAAAGACGCAGACACATCTACGTAGTTTCAGGCTGTTGGCCTTTTGGCTGGACAGTCTCTCAGCTTCTTCTAACTTAACCCTTTGTATCCCTCCACGTGGTTCTCAATGCCCTATCTCCCTGCTCCATTCTCCTCCGAGATTCTATCTCTCACCTCCTCTGTCTGCCCAGTTCTGGTCCCAGTCACCAGCCCTTCTCTTTCTCATACAAAAAGCAGGCAATTAGCATGGTGGATGAGTTTACAGAGCATTCTCATTCTGAGCTCATCAGGAGCAGGACTACGCCCAGTCAATGTCATAGTGTTGTCTTTGGGCCAGATCAAGAGTAGTATGACCTTCTGTGACTTCCCATGGCAGCTTCCTCTTTAACTTGATAATCTTAGTTAGGGAATCCTCTTTTTGGGCAGGTGAGGAAATGACAAACATCGACACATAGAAAGCATGTTAATGGGCCATAGAAATGACAGTGGTGCTGGCTCAGCAATTAACAATTGAAAATACAGGGGTACACCTTCATTTGATACAATATGTGTGGGTGTAGATCATCCCAACATTTGTTTCATTAATTTCATGTATTTGTGTGTGCACCTGAATGTAGATATTTACAGTGCATGTGTCTAGGTGACCAAAGAAGCCAGAATAAATCATCTACTCCCCTGGAAATGGAGTTACAGATGGCTGTGAGTCAACCAATGTGGGCAGAAGAACTGAACCCAGGCCCCATGAAAGAGCGGCAGGTACTCTTAACCGCTAAGCCATCGCGCCAGTCCCTTTCAATGATTTCTTGGATATGACATCAAAAGTATCTAAAGGGAAAAGGAAAGGAATAAAAGGGATTGGGGTGAGGGTGGGGAGAATCAGACTTCTTCTAAACTGAACCTGTTAGAGCTGACATACAGCTTGGTGGTGGCACACGTATTGCGAATATACAAGATCCTGGGTTTAATTGCCAGCACTAACAAATTAATCAAACGCCGGGCGGAGGTGGCGCACGCCTTTAATCTCAGCACTTGGGAGGCAGAGGCAGGCAGATTTCTGAGTTCGAGAGTTCGAGGCTAGCCAGGTCTACAGAGTGAGTTCCAGGACAGCCAGGGCTATACAGAGAAACCCTGTCTCGAAAAAACCAAAAGAACCAAAAGAAACAAACAAAAAAAATTAAACAAACAAGTAAATAAACAGAAGCAGTTGTGCATCAACATTGTGTGTTTTAGCAGTGAAAAAAGCCAGGTATTTGTAGCATCCATGAACGTACCAGTGTCCTGTGCCCAGGGCAGTGTTTGGGTAGGTTGTGGAGAGAGAAGAAAATGTCTGGAAGCCCCAGAGCCTGGCACTGATGTCCTTGAGAGGACCTACCAGCAACTGACTGAGGTAGACACAGATACTTACACCCAACCATTGGACTGAAGTTGGGGATCCCTATTGTTGAATTAGGGGAAGGATTAAAGAAGCTGACCCCATAGGAAGACCAGCCGTCTCAACTAAACCAGACCCCAGGAGCTCCCAGAGACTGAGCCTCCAACCAGAAGCATACATAGGCTGCTTTAAGGCCCCTGGCACATATGTAGCAGAGGTCTACTTGGTCTACTCTGTCTGGCCTCAGTGGGAGATTCACTTAATCCTTGAGAGACTTGAGGCCCCAGGGAAGGAGGAGGCCTGGTGCAGTGCAAGGGACGCACCCTCTAAAAGGCAAGGGGGAGGAGGAGTGGGATGAGGAACTGTGGGAGAGGGGGTTGGGGGGGGAGCAACAACTGGAATGTAGATAAATAAAATAATAAAAAAAAAGAAAACATGTCTAGAAGCCGTATGTGAGATGTAAAGATTGCTGAAACTTTAGACGAGTTGTGGCTGAACAAAGCAGGTAGGCAGCATCCTATGGCAAGGGGCCAGATAGAACGCTACCCTAGAGTTCCAGCAGGCTCTGTGGGCTGCGAAGGTCCAGTGGTAACCAGCTGGACCAAGGGCACACTCTCACAGTCTGGTGACAGTGAGCCAGCCTTATCTTCATAGTGTTTGGCTCCACCCTGCTCACTTTAGAGACAAGAGTTTTATAAGTCAGACTGCTCAGGCAGTGACATCACTAGCTCAGCGTGCCAAGGGGTCACTGACTTAGTATACATGCAGGAAGTAGGTTCTTTTCTAGATAACACTAGTTTTCCCCAAACCCAGGCTTCATGAAAGGGTGTCAGTGGTCCTCCAGATAGTCCTTATCGGAACATTTTTCTTATCTTTATATCTTCCTTCATTGTTTCCTTGAGTATTTGCAAGCCTTATGGCCTGAGTTTGATCGTCAGGGCTTACATTGTAGGAAGAATCTGCCCTGAAAATTGTCTTCCAACCTTTACATGTATGCATATGCATACACACACACACATACACACACACACACACACACACACACACATACACACACAAATAATTAATAAATGTAATTTTTAAAGTTTTGGCTTTTATCTCTTGTTCTGTTTGTTTGTTTGTTTGTTTGTTTTGGCTTTTATTTTTTGAGATAGGGTTTCTCTGTGTAGCCCTGGCTATCCTGTAACTCATTCTGTAGACCAGGCTACCCTCAAACTCAGAGATCTGCTTGCCTCTGCCTCACAAGTACTGGGATTAAAGGTGTATGCCATCACTACTAGACTAATAAAAAATTTTAAAGGAAATGTTGACATGAAAGGACACAAATGGTCCGTAAGGTCATAAGAAGATACCCAGCCTTCCAAACCAATTGGGAAACCCAAATAGAAATGACAGTGAGATATCGCACTTGCTGTACGATGACTATCATTTAAAACAAACAAAAGAAAATAGCATTGGTGAAGATATGCAGAGTCTGTTCGTCGCGTGTGAGAACAGGCAAACCAGCAGGTCCTTACCTCATCTCCCAACTAAATTATTTCATCAGCCATGAACCCTGCTCTGTTTCTGGTTTCACCTCTTATGAATAAGCTGTTATGAATGTAGGCATTCAAATACACACCTAGTGGGAAATGTTATTTGGCCTTTGAAGGAAAGGAAGTGCTGACACACTGAGTCTTGAAGACATTACACTAAGTGAAACAAACTCAGTCAGAAAAGGACAGATATGAGGTGCTTACACTGGTAATACAATATTGTTGCCAGGGGCTGGAAAAGAATAAAATGGAGATTTGGTGTTGGTTGGTTGTTAGTTTGGTTTGTGTTGTTGTTGTTGTTTGTTGAGACAGGGCTTCACTAACACAGCCTAAAAACTGTTTTCCTGCCTGGACTCCCAAGTGCTGTAATTACAGGTGATTTCCCCCGTGTGGGGTGGGAGTCACTGTTTAATGAGTTTAGAATACTATCTTGGAAAGATGAAAAGGTTCTGGGAAATGAATGGTGGTAAATATCCTTAACTGTATGCTTAGGACAGTAAGTGGCAATGCACATCGTGTATATTTATATAGCGTATATTTTACTGCAATTGAAAAGCAACTTGGTGGGGCTGGAGAGATGGCTCAGTGGTTAAGAGCACTGACTGCTCTTCCAGAGGTCCTGAGTTCAAATCCCAGCGACCACATGGTGGCTCACAACCATCTGTAGTGAGATCTGATGCCCTCTTCTGGTGTGTCTGAAGACAGCTACAGTGTATTCATATATAATAAATAAATAAATTTAAAAAAAAAAAAAAAAAAAAAAAAAA